ACCGCAGTCATGAGATGCATGTGTGAACTGTTGTATATATCTGCTGCCATAGGGCCCTTGAGTCATACAGAGTAGCTGTGCAGTTTGGCGAGAAAAGGAATGCACCAATTCTGATTCAGTTCAAAAAATATAAATACACAAAATTACAACATGCACAGGTAAATGAACATGAACAAACACATAAATATTTTTTGTACATGCAAATGCACATATAAAACATAAACAATTAAATACACACATACATAAATAATCAACAAATACATAAGTGTGTGTACATATGCCTTCTTGATCTTCACCTGTGGCACACATGGTTCTCCCGCAAGGAGCAACAGCTGGACTTCGCCTATTGGAGCATCAACGGAGACAAACGTGCCAACGAAAGCGAAACATACGGACTCCTGCAGGTGGGCAAGTTCCGTTCGTTCCAAGAGATAGGAGTGCGAAGCTGACGGTTCACTGCTGACTCATTGCGCACACCTGATGTCCAAAATGAGGACGACAACTCGGCAGTGAGACATCCGTGGAAGTTACAAGATCTGCAAAGCCTGTTTCTCGTGTGACTTCCGATGCGTGCAAGAAATGGCGCGGCGCGGCTTTGCCAATGAAGCCCGGTGTACAAAAAGTTCTGAGAGAGGGTCTCTGTTTGTCAACTGCCAGGATTCCTTTGATTTCTTTGGCTACGGCAAAATTACGAGGACCTGCGGTGTAGCAGTGTAGCAACATCGGCGGCATCAGTCTGAGCTGATGCAGGACTTGGTGGCCGCGCATTCCGTGTACTTCGGAGAAGTACTAGAACGACGGAGGACACACGATCTGCATCAGCGTGAACCACCGGCGTGTAACATGCTGCAAGACCAGGGCTTCATGTGGCTTGAAGGATGTGCGCGGTGAAGTTACAGGTGTGGTCGTGCCGGCAAGCTAAGAATGCCGAGATGCCGGGCAGTTTGACTTCATGACAATGCTCGCCGAGATCTGCCGAGGCCTGTGCTGGCTGGCCTGACAGGCTGGCTGGCCCTAATGTATTCCATCCAGCACTCCATCGTGACGGTGCGCTCCTGGCCCTCTCACAACATGTTTCTTCTTCTCTGATTGCAAAGGTGCCTTTCCTAACGGGAGTGCAGTATGAATACTTTCCCATTGTGGCCACCTTCGTGGTCCGTCACTCAGCCCCAGCAGCGTAGGGCCAGCGAGATGTGGACGCCCCGAATAGCTTCAGGCAGGCTACACTGTCATCGTGCTGGAGGCCGGCTCTCTTGTCAGTGTTCAATGTTACCATGGTGCAGTGCTTCACATTGCAGGAACAGACTGAGATCAACAAGGCATTTGCACTTGCAGTGTCCCGTTCTTTTAGAGTTCTATCCGATTCCATACCTTGAGACCAGGTCCTTTTGGATCTATGCGAAATGCAAACAGTAGTAGTTCATATCGAGCTTGTTGGGAGAAGTTGGGACTTGAGCATCTGGAACCGGATGCCGTCCTTTCGGCTTGGCTTTCGCACTCAGCCTATGCTTGGTCCTGTCTCAACTAGCTGCAGAGCAGCCTTCGCACACTGTCGTATGTGAAGGCAGAGTTCTTGTTCCACAACTCAGTAGCCGCGACAGATGCAGATGGCACGCCTGCTGCCACCGTCGCAATTTCATGGCAAAGACAATGCTTTTCAGGCGACAGCTTTGCTTCAGCGCGCAGGGTGCGCGTACGGCTCCTTGAGGGGTCCCGCTCCAGCCAGAGCAAGCCCCGTCGACTCCCTTGGCTGTTTGCCTGGGATCCTTGCGCTCGGAATGCATTCTGCGCGAGCGACGCGTGCGAGGCGTGCGAGAGCAACGCCAAGCATGCGAAAGACGAGAAGATATGCCGACGCTAAGGAGGAGCAGCTTCCGAGATGCGTGGTCTTCGACCTGGACGGCTGTTTGTGGTATCCGGAAATGTACGAGCTGTCATGGCAAGGCGGTGGTGCTCCTTTCAGCCGTGACGAGTTGGGAAATATTCGTGACCGTCGAGGGAATGCAATTCGTTTGCACAGTGGGGTGGATGCTGCACTGACTGAACTAGCGACGGATCCAAAGTGGCGTGGGGTGGTTGTTGCTGTTGCCAGCTGTTGTGATGTGCCACCTTGGGCGCACGAACTCCTTGGAAAGTTTGAATTCGGGCCAGACCGAAAAAAACTTGCAAACATCATCGAAGTGCGCCAGATTCACAAGGGCTCGAAGCAAACTCATTTTCGAGAGATTTGCGGAATGGTCGGTTGTCACTTCGACGAGATGATCTTCTTCGACAACGAGAAGTATAATTGCGATGAAGTAAGTCGATTGGGCTCTGTGCTCGGTTGAAGCAGTTTCTTTCAGTGGCATGGTTGTTGGCTACAGCATTCATTCTGCTTTTCAGGTGTCACATGCATTTACTGTCCTGATGGCGTCACCTCTACCTCTTGGGTGAACGGAACAAAGGCCTATGTGCACGAACATTGCTGCAGAATCATAGCCAGAGTTTTTTCAATCCTTGATGCCTCAGGCTTTTCCAGCGCTGGGTGAAGTCTGCTGCTGCGAATAAGCTGAAGCAGACCTGGGATAGCTCTGCCGTCATAATCAAAACAGCAAGCAGCGCGCTTGCCGCGTGTGTTTTGTTTTGCTCTTGCCTTCAGCCCTGGAGTCTCGCTTCTGGTTGGCAATGTCGCATAGTATGCTGTACTGCAGGCAAAAGACATGCACCGGCGCGTGCGTTGATGCTAGTCACTGTAGTCTTCACCTTCGCCGATCTGTTCGTGGATCTCCAAGCTCTGCGTCGTGCTTTTGTACATTTGCCACAGGCAGCGACTGCGCTCATCTTAGGTGTACTGGTGTTGCTCTCAGTGTTCTGAGCCACAGCTCTTCTCTGAGGTAGAGATTTGTTTAAAGTGTCTTTTGAGGCTACTGCCCGAAATTTCCCAAACACGCTGAATCTTCGACAAACTTCTGTAACCTTGACAAATCGACCAGAGTCATAGCTTCTGAAGGGGCTTCTGGCAGTTTGGTATAGCTGGGGGCAGTTTTTGGGGAATTTCGCAGGTTGGGTTGTTGTTAGCAGACCCAGGTAAAGTTTCATAGTTTGTGGCGGTTTTCCCAAGGCTCTGAGGTTTTTCTGTACCCTTTAGGGCGTGACGCTTTGCTGTAAATGTCTTGCGTTTGAGGTCGATAAGGCCAGTGAAGGGCTGAAGCGCACTCTTTACAATGTGTCAGTGTTTGTGCCAGGTTCGGCTGAACCTGTCCCCGTATTGCAGAAGCAAATGGATTCGGTGGACTGCCTGTCCAAAGAACTACCTCCCGGAAACGACCTCATTTGCCTGAATGAGCAACTGCGATGCACTGGGTTGCTTCTGTTGAGGTGTGGGCATTGGTGGGCACAGGGGTGGACATGACATCGTCCGCCTTCGACGTCGCCATCAAGTCTGGGCCTTATGCGTCCAATGCCGTCCTGATTTCTTATCCTGTCGTACATGTTTATGTGTTGCCTTCTGCAATAACCAGACCGAACTGGGAAAGGACTCGACAATTCAGAGGGGAGGCTTCAAGTGTTGTCAAAGTCGACCAGATAAATCAGAGGATTCTTGCAATACGCCAGTATGCCGTGCAAACGGGCCTCACTTGCATTTGCTATGGAAGCCCCCTGCCCCTGCGGCCCTCAAAATCCCAACGAAATGCAACATCACGACATCCGTTTCCAGGGAGACGTTGGAAGATGTCTCAGAGGCAGCCGGCAGGTTCGACTTGTGTTTCAGGTCGCGTGTTGATTGGCAGGTTGTCTTCTTTCTTCTGGGTGCCTTGACCATTGTGGAGATCATGGACGCACATAAAGGCAGTGGCCTCGAGACTTTGAGTTTTGGCCTCGCGGAGCTAGAGGTGACAGTGACGTGATGTCTTGTCTCACGCAGAACGTAAGTCTGCGCCAGGGTTCGACATTATCACAAAGCTCATCCAAGCAAAGACTCAGCGCGAGCTTCTGGTCGGTAGCCCGTGAGCTGTGAGCTTGCATCGCTGCAACCAAAGTTCAACGAAGGTCATCGTGTCAGTTCTGACCTTCGTACTGTCGTCAGTGCTCAACAACCTCACTGTGGTCATTGTCATGGTGTGTGCCTGAGCTGAGTTTGACAAATCAGTGTGATCGGATTCCATCGGCAGGTATCTCTTCTGCAAAAGCTGGTGAAGGCCTGGAGCCGCAACCTGATCGAGCATATGAGCGCTGTGAATATGATTTAATATGGCCAGGACGAAGATTTTCGGATGAGGCTTGGTGGAATCGTTGTGGTGGCATCCAACGCTGGTGGAGCCTGGACTGTTGGGTGTAGCCCCTTGCACACCATGCTGCTTCACGCGATGAACAAGTCGGAATGGTTGTCGTGAGGACGCCCATTGGTGACATCACAACTACGATGCTCTACATTGGCGGCCAGGCCTGTCGCATGCAAGCAGATGGAAGCTGTCTCTTTATGTGAGTTTTGATCGTTCAATCGTTGCTGTTTTTTTTCTCTTGAGCCATCTTCTTTGAAGGCTTTGGCATTGGATTGCATGCGTACGCCAAGGTGACTACCGTACCACTGCTGGCAAATCTGTTCATCCCAAGCGTTCTTTGCTTGATTGGCACAGTGGGTGCGCCGGCCTACACTTGCTTACAGCCCACCGCTCTTTGCGCAGATCAGCTCTGAGGCTTTGAGTTAACCAGAATGGACGACAAGCCCTTCGAGCGAACACCATCCAGTCCTGGGGTGGGAGTGAGCTCCATCCTAGGGGTAGCGTCGCGCTCTGGTTGTGCAGGATGACGAGATACCCAACGGTCAGGCAGGTTGTGCAGCGCCCAGGGCTGACCCATCCATCTTGGAGTTCACCAGGCAGTGGTGTTCTGGGGGGGTCTGATCGGCATGATCACAGTTCCGGCATTCACCGTCGAGAGCCCAAAGACGTCTAGCTTGCATGCAGCAAGCTTCTTACAGGCCGTAAACGTGCCCGTCGTTGTCCTTGTGTTCACAGGCCATCACCCAATGCCCAGCTTGGAGTGGGCCCAAAGCCTCAGCTTGCTCGGGGATTGCGGAAACAACTCAGCTCCTGATTTTGAGAGGATGATGCTCGTCTTGGGTCTCCTGGGCTTGATCACATCCCTGTGACAAGCTCAGGGACATGGTTCGTGTGTGTTCATGTGCATACAAATCTCTGTGTTCGAGCTTTTCTGCGGATTTGTTCGTCGTTTGGCAGAGGTTGCACGAGCCGGACGACAACCGCTACTCGCTGAAGGGTGCTCTCACTCGTGTTGAGGTGCTGCCACAATCACATGCATGAACGTACCAAAGCTTATGAAAGCTTTGATTCCCAGTCGGCTGAGTAGCGACGTCGGGTCGTCTGCATAATTCTGAACGTCTCCTGGCTTCCTGTTATGCGTCCGTCCTTTGTTTCGGAATTGCTTTGCTTCGGCTTAGTAAACTTAGTGGGCTCATTTTGGGGGCGCTCAGATCTCTTCTAACCTCCATGCGGTAACGCAAAGGTTGCTTCTTCTCCCATGACCGCTGGAAATCCGTTCGAGGTTTCACCCCAGTCCGGATCTGCCCGAAGCCGTAGGCCGTAGGGTCTTAGCCTGCACGCTGATTAGCGCAAATATTTTCTTGTGCAAGAGCCCCAGTAGCTATGCTGCTGAACCGTTTGAGCACGCTTGGCGTGTGTGCCGCCTTGGATCTTTAACCAAGTAATCGCAGCTGTGTGGCGAGGTGCCTGATGCTTTGTTCTTTTTGGGTGTTCTCTTCGCCGTCGGTGGCCTTGAACGAGTCGGGCTCCTGAAGGAGAAGCATGGAGAAGCCATGCATGGGGTAACTGCACCATCTTCGGAGCGGCTCAATAGGCGCTAAAGGTGCTAGTGTAGTCGGCGCTTGAGTGTCGCTCTCGCTTTTTCCCAACGTCAGGAGTTTGCCATCCAGCTGAGTAACCTGGTGCCCTCTGAAGCCTTGGCCGAGACCTGAGGATCCTGAAGGAAAGGAGGCTCAGGCTTGGAGCCACAGCGCGCCTCGCCGTTGCTTCGGCTCTCCTTTTCTGCAAGTCTCCCCTGGAGTGCTGACGCGCCCTGCATATCCCTGCATCATGCTCGCAAGCTTCATCAAGCTTCCAACCGTGGGTCCGCAGGACGCAGAGGTGGGAGGGATGCACCCGACACGCGGGGAAAAGGTGATCGACTTGAGTTGCCAGATGTATTGAAGCGGCCTCTTGGCATCTGGTTCTTTCTCCCTCAGCCGACATGAGAGGCTGCCGTCCTGGAAGTTCGTCCTGGTGCTGTGAGTGTATTTGGGGGGGGTGCTCGGAGTTGAAGCAAGAAGCTACCGTGTCTGGAACTGTACAACTGTAGTTGAATGCCGTGTCAAGTGAAGGCATGCTGTAGGCGAGGCGACATGACCGAGCAATCGAACTTGTCCTGTCCGTTTGTATCCGTCGTGCTTTGCTTCTTCTTGAGGTCGCCATTTTCCTGGGCTTTGCGTCTGCTGTGGTGGACAATGTGCCGCTGGTTGCAGCTGCACAGGCGTACGACCTGCAGTTAGACTCGTTAGACCTCCTGATTTTCAGCGTGTCCTGCCAGGGCATGTACGACATTTCGGTGCACCCTGCAAATGACAGCCTGTGGAACCTGATCACGTGCGCCTGGGCGATCTGGCATTTGGAGCCTTGCTTAGCCGAGGCTTAACCGGCCCTTTGGGATACTTCTGCGATTTGTTGCGCTTTCTCTGAAGCTGTGTACCCTGACATTTTTGCCACTTTGCTGCAGGTACTGTGCAGCCACTGGGGGTTCGCTGTTAGTCATTGGCTCTGCCGCAGGCGGGGAAGAAGTCAGGGTGTTCCCTGTGCACTTGTGACATCTGGCCTCTGCAGCATCAGCGCAGGTGTTGCCTTCATGGGCATGGAGAGGAATGTTTCCTTTGGATGGTGCCGCAGCTGTGCTCACTTATTCTGAATTCTGTCGCTTTGATATCCGCAGTGAGGTATGTCAAAAGTGTGGCTCCTGCAGCACTTGTGGGCTACTTCCTGGGTGTTGCCGGAGTGTTGGGCCAGCAGGTGGGGCAGTAGCAATATTGCCCGGCTCAGTGTGCCTTTCGTTGGGTGCAGGCTCTTGGACTGAGTGTGGCGTAGCTCGCAAGAATATGCAAGAGCGAAGCCGTCAGACCTCCGTCAAGTATGATTTGATCAGGAGCTCTGAATTTCCGTTAATGCTTTGCAAGCTAATTCGAGCAGGCGTTTGCTTGCACTGGGTGTTGTGAAAACAGGACAATCATTGAGTCATGTTTATTCCATGTGTTGCGTGCGCGGTTTGCCAATGTTTCGCAGATGCCAACATTGCAAAACAGCAATGTGATAGGTGTTGTGTTTAGCATTTTCAAGCACCCAAATCGGTTTGTTTGCCTTACCTACACTTGTTGGACGTTGAGCGCGGTCGGCACAAAAAACGCGTCCACGAAGGTGCTTCCAACATGCCAATGTCAGCATCACGTTGCTTGACTATTCGTCATGGTTGTCGGTTCTTCGAGTCATAGAGGGGACATCGAAACAGGTAACCAACAGCGTCGTTCAATTGCGGCACCAGTTTGTTACGACAAGACGCTTAGGACATGGAATGAGTACTTTGGCAGCGAGCCGCGCATTGTCAGACTTAGAACATCGTCCGCTTCGAGCCAGCAATTGCAGAACGCCATGGCAGAGGTGGACAATTTCAGAGGCAGGAACGGCACAGATGCAACAGCGATTTCGCTGCAGCGCCGTTCCAGGTGGTGCGGTTCATGAAAGTGGAAAACCTCAGGCTGCGTGTTGCATGGTTGACACAACAATGTGCTGATTGGGTAGGTGCCAGTATTATTTTGCAGCCTTTTAGGATGTGTGCAAAGAGTATTTCTTGATTGAGGCACTCCGTGTGGAAGTTCGTTGGATGCTTACGGCGGGGCTGGCTTGCGAGGTGCTTGGGGTCGGAGGACGTCGGGAGTTGAATATGTGTCATGGCAGTTTGCTCTGCATTCAATCGTGTTAATGCTTACGTACTGTGCAGGTGGTTGCAACGCCCAGCACAAGCATTGCCGAAATACGGGCACAGGCGATGAAATGGGCCTGCCGTTCCTTCCCATTACTGACTTGTTAAGGTGTGTGAGACCACCGGAGTTCCAATCGAGCAGCAGAGACTCTTCCACGAAGGATCGTTGGCTTCCGTAGCGTGGACGCAGCAAAGCCCATGGTCATGCATCGATGTGCAGGCAAAGAGCTGTCGCAGCCAATCGATGTGTCAGAGATGGGCCACTAGCCTGAATAGAGTCTGCATCTTGAGCTAAGCTCAGTAGCTTGTCGCAAGCTTTACAGGTTTTCCCTACGCCGGAATCCAGTTCAAGTCTTGGCTTCGTCCAGACTGTGCAGCACTGAAAGGTGAAGACTTGTAGGGCTTTGTACCCACTGTTGAGGCTGGTTCGCTGCCTGAGCGATCCTCGCAATACCAACAGGGCACACTTCAGGAAGAATCTTGAGCTGGATGAGGGTCTTGCCAGCGCCTCAAACTGCTCCCCGGTCACCTTGGTCCTTGCCGTGATTCTCAGGTGGGCGATTTCGTTTGGGTCAAAAGGCTTGGAGATGCCATATATGGTGAGGCCACCGTTGTGCTTCTAATGTTGAAGCAGTGTCCATCTTCGCGAGCACATCAATTGCAGGTTGGGCAGTACAAGTGGAAAACAGGATGCAACTTTCGGGATGTTGCCGTCAAGTGCAGAAGCATTGACAAGGCTGCAAACAGGAGTGGTACAACGTGAATGCCCTGCTCTCTGTGCGCTGATCACTTGGATCAGGCACGGCAAGCGCTTGGCGAGGACATATGCATCGTGATTGTCCTGTCCTGATCTGCAGCTGCCGGATCATTGTGCAGCCGTCAGGAGAATGAGTGGACTGCTCACATGTCCGGCCAAAACGTACCCAACCCAGAGGACTGGAGTGCAGAGGTGGCGATCTCGTGGAATAAGCGTTTCTGTGCTGTTCAGGACGCATTTGCAGAGATTGGGATTCTCCAGTATTTGCACATTCCTCAGATTTGCGAAGCGCATACACGTCAATACCAATGCACATAGTTCGAGTCGGAGATGAACAGAGACTGCCAGCTGCGAAGTCGAGGGCGAGAGCCAGACACCCTTCGCAGCTTTTCGCATGGATAGGTGCAGACGAAACCTTCCACCGACCGCCATCAGGTCAAAGCAACCGGATCTTCCTGCTTATCTGCCTGGGCCTGGGAAGACGCGTGTCTAAAGTCCATGGTACGAAGTCGTCTGTACATGCTAGAACCTGGAAGCCAGGCTGAAATCGATGGCAGCGTTTACGCACAACTCCAACATGCTCGAAGCTCGGCAGGGGCAGGGGGCAAGGGGGGTAGTGAGGGGGGGGGGGAGGCCTGTTCTGATTTCACTGTATAGGTGAAACTTTGTTTGGGGGGGGGGGGCAGGGGCAGCGGGGCAGGGGGCAGGGGCAGGGGGCAGGGGCAGGGGGGTAGGGGCGCAGGGCACTGAGCAGAGTAAGTCAACCTGTTGTCATGGAGCTGTCCTATTGATCGGCTGGTGAATGTCTGCACTTGCCAGATGGCTCGTGACGGAGCTGGCAGTGGGTGGCGAACTGCTTGCTGCAAGCTCGGATCGTGTGACTGCACCGCACACTATCTGAAACTGTTAAGCTTCAGGACGCGGTGCTCAATGGACGTGTTGACGAACGTCAACGGAGGTGTTGCAAAACTTGCAGCGCAGCATGCATGCCTCCTACAGCAAGCAGGCAATACACGTGGCAAATGCTGCAAGCCGTCGGCTTCCCAAGCACTTGGTGGCTAGGGCATGTTGCTTTGTCCCTTGCTTTGCAGGTGAAGTACCTGCATGCCCACAACATAGGCTTGCATGAATGCATATTAGGTCCTTAGGTCCTCTTGTATACCCGAGTCCGCACCAGGCCACCGCGATATTTCCTTGGCGCGCCCCCCGTGCGGTGACTCCGTGCAAGCGGCATGCTGTGTGTTGTGGCCTTTCTGAGGAGAATGTCTTGCTGCAAGGCGACAGCATCAGGCCTCGGACTTGTTCGCCCAATCGCAGACTTTTCACAATAACATTGCTGTAGCAGTGTGCAGAACTGAAACTCCCGCTTTGCCCTTCGGATTCTCCGACCGAAACCTTTTCCCAATGAAGCTCGGTACATCATCTTCGTAGATCCGACACTCAGGGAAGATTCTCAACCGAGCGTTCGACAGGCGGATGCAGATCACGCATCTAGTTCTTTTGTGGCTGTCGGACCGGCCACGGAAAAGAAACTGAGCATGCGTAGATGAAAGCGGGCAACGGACGTCTGACTACGATGGGCAACTCCGGAAGTCCTGGACCCAACTGAAGCGCGGCACGGACGGACCGGTCAGTCAAGTAGCCACCGGGTTGCGAGGGACGGCGGTGGGCAAAGTCGAATGCAACCGACCGGTGATGCGAGCCAACGGCTGTGGGCAGTGTTGCCGTTTCGCCCGTACCAAGCACATCCCATCAAGCTGAGTAACGCTCGGTCGGGCTAGTCTACCGTTTACCGTACAGACGGGTACCTAATTTCTCACACTCGGACAGTATTGTTCTTGATGCGGTTGGGTAAGAGTCCGGTGGTCTGGTGAATCGAGACACACGGGTGGATGCAGATCACGGATCTGATCTTACCCGGGTGGCGGTCGGACCAAAGAAGATCGAGCCGCACACGCTTGACCCGACAGGGGAACCGCCCAAAAAGAGCAATCAAGCAACGGCAGATCGGAAACACTTTGCTACCGGGCAAGAAACCCGTGGAAGGACAGCCGCGAACCGGTAGAGCGAGAGCCAAAACCCACGACTGCGGGAATCAGCAACAGTTGGGGATTCTGGGAACAATGATCCACATTAACCGAAATACAGCCCTGAAACGACAAATGCGCTTCGCAAAGTCCTTTGGGCATCGTGAGGCATTTCCAGGCCGTGGGTTCGGAAGCGGAGTTGTCCGAATGGAGCACGCAGCGCCATGGAGGGTGCCCCGGTGGCCCTACCCAAGCAACGAATGCAGCAGGCGCAGAAGCGCCCAGTGAGCCTTCAAATCCCATGCGGCAATGAACCATTGAACGGAGCAATCATCATTCAGGCGGACAATGCCGAGACCGGCAGAATTGGCGTCGGAACACGCATCGGCAAGCACCTCACACTCGAAGCGAGGCGGCAAAATCAGAGAAGGGATGTCAGAGCCAGCGGTGGCAAAAAACCCAGCACATACGGAGAACCTCACAGGGGCGACACACGTATCAAGTCTGAGTGCTGGGGAGGCTCGAGGCAGCTTAGAGAATAATACTGACGAAGGCCCAAAGCGAAGCAGAAAGATGGTGGAGTAGGGATGATAGATAGTCTACATAAATGAGTCCGGCATGGCTCACGCGGACGAGATGCTTCCGAAAGCCGAGGCAGCAAGCCGCTTCACGTGCACAAAACGACTCTGCAAACACATACATACATACATACATACATACATACATACATACATACATGTATAATCCTATATACATAGGTAACGTACATACATAGTTGCTCAGATGGAAGAGTCGCATCCGCCACACGAAGCAGAATGACTGCAGATAGGCCCAAAGCGAACTATGAAAGCGTCGTGGCTGACTACATTAAAGCTGGGCTCGCGGGAGCCGCTGAGATTTAGGACTTTTTCCGGCTTGGAGAGTGCAGTACAGCTGGAGTCCTTGTATTAAGTCACATAGGATGATGCTTGATGATTCGGGCTTGCACTGTTCTTTCTCTGCCTTAGGACGGACCCCTCCCTCACCCCCTCCGTCCAAAAAAAGACCTCCTCCTCCTCCCCTAACAAACCCTGCAACAAAAACCAAGGGAAACTTTGAAACCGCAAGGCACGGATAAACCCCGTGTGCGTCCACTGGATCGCTGTTCCAGGCTGGCCGATCGACCAGCTCTCCCGCTTCGTGGTTAGATCCTCCCTTGATACAGACGAAGACCCGGCATCGCCTTATTTACGCCCTTGTCTTACTTGGGCGCAGGCCTTCGATTCTACTAATCACTCATCTCAAATTTCGCTCTTTCGTGCAGTTCCAGAAGGGTGTTGTATTGCAGTGA